TGGATGGAAGTTCCAAGTGGGTCCCTCCGATCCCAACGCGGCCTGCGAAGCCTTGCGCTCCCTGGCTGCCAAGGTCACACGGGACGCAGGCGGCTTAGCTGTGAGTGCGGAAAGTTGTCCAGGCTTTTGAGCCACAAGCGCAAGGCCGCCGAGCCACGCTTGCCTGCCCAAGTCCGGTGCCGGCAAGCTACTGCAGCTTTAGCAGTCGCAGCCCGTCAAGTGACCCGCTGGCGCCGCAGCTGATGAGGCAGCGGCGCGGAGTCGCCCTTGGCCCCTGTGCTGGCGGAAATGGTTGCCAGCAAGAGGCCTGTGGCTCGGAGACTGCAGTCCTTGGATTTGACAACTCCTCCGTGCACCATGCCCTGGGCATGCTGCATGGCAGAGCGTCCAGCGCGGGCGGGCGACTTTGTCCCACATCCAGCCATGAAGAAGTGCTTTTTACCAATTCAAAGCATTTGCTCGGACAACGAGGTCTTGGCCTTGCGCTTCCGCCCGTTCCCTCTTGCAGGAGAATGTCGAACACACCCTCCAGCTCGTGGCGAAGCAGGCGGCTGCTGGTGAGCCATTCCTTCTGGCAAGCTTGAGCGGGCACGGCTCGACAGAATGCAAGCGCCTTGCGTGCCCATTCTAGCTCCCCAGCCGAGCTGCTTTAGGCAAAGCGTGCCAGGGTTGCCCCACGCCCGGCCAGCTGCTGGTGAGTTGAAGTGGAGGCGTCTTTTGCGCACAAGATGTGTGCAGCCGGCCTTTGGCGTGCCGTGTCATGCCAGCCAGCTGCCCGCAAGCGGACGGCGGCGTGTGCCACATCATTTGCCGGAAAAAGCGGCGGGGCTGCAAATTCCTGACAGCTACTGGCATGAGGCGGTGTGAAGCGGCGACGTACTCCTGCAAGACACATGGGGGCTTTAGATGGACTTGCCTGTCGGCGCATCGTCTGCAGGCGCGACACTTGTCAGAGACGTTATGGGCGACTGGATTGTGCACAGCTCATTCTGGCCACCAATCTGGCAAACGCTTCTAGCAACGGAGTCGCACGTGGCGTTAGAAAGGCACGTACGTCGCCAAGTAGAGAGCGCTGTGTTCTTGGCATTGGCGGAGCGCCCGAGCGCCAGCAGCTTGCCACACTGCGACAAGGGTGAGACCCGCTGGCATTTGTTGCAGCATTGCTCGCAGACGCCCGATGCGGTCACATTGAAGAACTGGCTGCTGAGCTTCATGTCAGCGCAGATGAGCTCGGAGGATGTGGCGGCTTTGGCTGCGGAGGTGGTGGCTTCCCATGGCGCCATATGCTGCTTTGACTTTTCGTCCAGCGATGGTGCCCGGACTGTATTTAAGCGCCACGCTTTCATTGTTTAACTTCGCCCCAGCACTTTAGGCCGCGTTTTGTTCTTATCCATCCATTACAAGCTTGCGGGAATTGCGTGTTCAGGTGGAAAAGTTGCAAAAGGTGTTGAGAGAAGTGTTGCTTTCACTTTGTTCGTTGCTGATGGGCAGTCGTTAGGCAAGCAGCTTCAGAAGCGGGGCCGCGGCCAGCAGCGGCGCGTGGGGCAGGCTTCTGGTAAGAACCAGCCGCTCAAACCAGCGCACCGCAAAAGAAAGCTGAGGGCGGCGCGCGCCCAGGCCAGGGCAGCTGTGGTGTCCAAGCAACAAGCCGCACGGAGATGGGGCTGCTGCACAGGGCTGGGCAACATCCCACTACTCCCCCCCTTGTTCACAAATGCTGAAGACACTTACACACGTCTACTGATGTTGCTTGTGGTGTTGAGGTTGGGTCAACGAACGTCCTGTGGGAATCATGCTGGGTGACTTGGATGCCAGCTTCAACCTCGTTGCTTGTGCCTTGGAACTTGCGCTGCCCGCCTTGTTCAGAAGACCCACTGGAGTGCTTCAGAAGGGCACACGGAGGAGCAGCAGGAATTCCTCAACAATGCGGGAATTCTGATCGATTCCCGCACTGGTTTTCTGCTTGGGCAAGACCCCTCGCATGTCTATTTCAGATCTATTGACAGCGCCTTTGTTCTGAGATGCCTGCGGAAGCTCTTGCGGTCCTGGACTTATGAGCTGGAAGTCACTGGTGTGGAGCAAGAGCTTGAGCATGTTCGGGCAGAGCGCACCCAAACCACTTGCAAGAGGCCGCGACTCTCCCAGACATTTTGCGTTCATACTTCCACGGCTCCGTCATTCCCAGCAATGCTCACGGCATTCTCCTCCACATTGGATGGCAGGCATGTCGCAAGCTGAGGTGGCCAAGGCGGTCCATGCAGCTGTGCAACCGGGCCCTTGACGCCCAAAAATACTTGCAAAGAGTTGGGTCTTCTACACGGCTTTGCTGCACATCGGCTTTTTTGAAGCGGTGACCACTGCAAGGTGGGAAAGGGCGCAGTTTCAGTACCTCAAGCGTGTTCGCGGGGGCGCCCACACGTGTGTGGGACTCCTCGAAAGTTGCTGGCGGCCACAATTTTGCCAAAGCAGTGCAGCTGCAGCAAAAGCCGCTGATTGTGCGCGGCTTGATGGCTGCCCATGAGGCCAAGCGATGGTGCGTGAGCCAAGGCTATAATATCTCCCTTGGGACCGTCGGGGTCTGGCGCAACATGCAAAGGAAACCTGGCTCGGTCTCGGAACCGTGTACTTGGTCAGCGTCGAAAGATGGCTTCGAGAGGCGCAGGCTCGTGCGTGTGCGGGGGCTGGTGCCGACTTCCATGAAGGCGCCGCAGCCTTGGCACGCCGCCCGTCACGTGAAACCCATGGCCTGTCTCATCGCGTCTCCCACACCCGCGGCGAGTCCCGTGCAACGGGTCTGCACGGCGATACCGCGAGAACTTGAGGCAGAGGCCGTTGTGCCGCGCGGCGGGCGACAACGTCAGGAACAGCGGCTCGCCTGGGCCCCGAATAAGAACCGGCCGATGCGGCGGCGGACCTCGCCGTCCCCGGCATGGTTTGCTGCGTGCGCCGCACTTCCCGCAGTAGCTCCTGCTCAGGCAGCGTCAAGTCTTTGGCGTGCCACAACTTCCGTGCATCCTTTCTGCAACTTTTTGCGCAGGCCTTGCGCGGCTTCCACCCACGCATCGGGAGTTTCCTTCAGCTCGGCCCGCTTGCCTTTGAGCCGACGCCATAGGTCGGAGCGCCACACCGAATGCCACTTCATTGTGATGCGACGCACCCCGGGCAGGTCCCAGGAGCTGCGAATTTGCAACTCCACACGCCGGGCCAGCGCATGTGTGCGAAGGGCGTGAGCACGGCTTCCTCACTGCCCCTGCGGTTTTCGCGACTTGGACGGGAAATCCGGACCGCCCACTGGCGCGGGCAGGCTGAAAGGGTACGCCCAGCTGACGAATCGCTGTTGCCACTGGTCCCAAAGGCTTTGCCCGGTTTGCACCTTCACGTGCGTGGTGAGCTTGGCCAGCTGCACGATTTCTTGCACGTCTACGTCGTGCACCTGGGAGCTGGTGTGGTCAGACGATAACACGTGGGGCCGCACTGTGCGAGCAAAGGCCTCGCCGTTGACTTCACGCACTGTGGCCGCTTGAGGCGCGGCGTGCTTGTTCTGCCCTCCGCCGCTTTGGTCCGCTTCCTCCGGCGCCATCGGGGCACACTCCATGGTCACCGGCGACAGTTCTTCTTTGCCGTGCCTGCTGAGCACTCGCTGCTTCAAGCTTTCTTTGAGCGCGGCCTTGTCTGCCCATGCCTCACACACGTGCGGCAGCTGCTGCAGGACAGCCTCCGCCCCCAAGCGGTGGAGACTGCCGTAGATCTCCTTGCAAGGCATGCTGAAGGAGCTAACATTGCCTCGCACGGCCACGCGGAAGTCGCTGCAACGCAGCTCCTCCTCCATCATGCCAGTTGTCGTTGGCTAAAGCTTGCGGGACTTGCGGGCACGTGCTCTGCCGCAAGCGGCTCCAGCATGTCCGGCACAGTGGTAGCCTGCACTCTGCGCACAGTTGCTCTTGCGTGGCTGGACACGCAGCACACACGCGGTCTTCTAGGCAGCACAGAATCCGCTGCGGCAGTGACAGCTGCCAATCCTGCTTCGGAAGCCGATCTTTCACGGCCGCACGCTTGCCGTACCTCCGTATGTACCTCCAGTTGGCGGCAAAGCTCTCGGTTGACACGGTTGTGAACAGCTCACGCACTGACACGTATCCCACGTTGCTATTGGGACCTCCAGGCTGCACTCCCGCGCAACAGGCACACAGCAGGGCAACGCAGTGCTCCTCGCGCCTGCGCAGCGTGCGCCGATCCACGCTCCAACCCACAGCAGGCACTGATGCTTCCTCTCGGCAATCGAGGGCTCGCATGTACCGGTTCTTGGGCTTGCCACCACTCCTGCCCTGGCTGGGGGGTTGGGCCGATGCTTCAGCGGGGCTTGGTCTGCATCATCGAGACTTCCTTCCAAAAAGCTTCTCAACCAAACAAATGTAAGCAAGGCTCATTTTCGCGCATTTTGGTGCCAAACGCTGCCGGGCATGCCGGCGATGCTGGGCCCTTGTTCTACGAAACGCCGTAAATACCGTCAAAAACTGCTACGCTGAGCGTTGGGCTGCTGTTCTGTCCGTTTTGCTTTTGCTGTGGCTGGCTCGCGCGCTGCGCGGTCCTTGCTTTTTTCCCGTTGGTTTTCGGGCCTTCTGGCGCGCGCGCGCGCGACCCCAGCCACAGAACGCTGCTATTTACTGTGTTTTGTTGCGTTTGCGTTTCCGGGCTGGCTTGCGGGCTGTTCTTTTTTTGGCTGCTCTTTCTAGGGCCTCTGGCGCGCGCGCGGGCGCGCGACCCCATGTGATAACCAGCCATATCATGGCACTGGATACGTTCTCATACAAAAAACATGACATGACATGGCATAACTTCAAAGAGGCGTAGCCGGCTAGAGGCCGCAGGCCCAGTTAGCGTCACAGGGCGGCAGCCCTTGAAGTGGTAAACTTCCAAGGGACAAGCCTTGCAAAGGGTAAGGCTTCTGTCGGCCAGGAAAAGGAATTTTTAGGAGCGTGTTTCGCAGCCACAGCACTCGCCTCATCGTTCACGTCCATGGGCTCGTTCCAAAAGTCCAGGATCCTTTGAACTCCTTGGCACGGGTAAGCGTCAGACTCTGCCCTACAGTTGTTATCCAAACCCTAGCCGGTGACAAAAGCAACACTCACCTTCCCCAAAACCGCGCTCGACGTGGTGCTCTTTGAAGCTGCCCAACCCCGTGACTAAGCAAAATACAGTGCCGTCGAACCAAACAAATAGACGCTTGAAAGCCTTTATCCAAATCTCCTATGGAAAAACAGCTGGGAGCTTCCAAGACTCCTGGAGAGACAGCGCCAGTGGCCTCGGGAGTGGCGTCGCTGACGTCAGCGCTGTCGCGGTCTGTTGCTCTGCTGACCCCCGTCACTTTGCTCGCCTCGCCGCCGGATTGTGTAGCGCACCTGGCCTCCTGGAGCGCCACCATCAGCACATTGCGAGCAGCCAGGCCGTCTGGCCTCGGACAGCGCCAAGTCCGACCAGATTGCCAACGGCAACGGGGCGACCCCCAACCCCCACTCACATGCGCGACTCTTACCTGCGAGGGGCGTGAAGGCTTGGTTGGTCAGGAACTTGGCCTGCTTCTCCACACTCATTTGCCGCAAAGCTGCCCCCAGCACTGAATTGGCCAACGACTCAACCTCAAAGTCCTTGCGCTGCACAGCTAGGCTCAGGCGTCCGCCTGGTGGCAAAGAAACGCTGAGACAAGCAAAGGGAAAAAGCACGTCAAGCAGCAAAGCTGAATGAAAGAGTTCTCCATGCGGGCAAGAGGCAAGAATAGCCAACAAAAGAGCCTGTACTTTCGCCCAAGCTTTTTGTGAACGCAGCGGGCGCCAGACCCTCAAGCGACGGCGATTGCCCTGACAGCTGAAGCAGTTGGAGCTCTCCAGCTGCGGCCGCTCTTGGAGTGGCCTGGAGCTGCGGAGGCCCGAGGCCAGAACGATGCGGTTTGGATTGTCGCAAGTGTCGCAACTTGCGTTTCCTGCTGGCAAAACTCCAAGGCCGTGCTAGCCAAGACGCCTCCTCCAAGGCCAAAGCCTGAAAGATCGAGACCCCAGCGCACGCAACGACAGAGACATCCGCCAGCACCTTCTCCACTTCTGCGGCCAACTCCTGAAAGCGAGACAGGCGTCTTCACCTTTTCTTTTCTTCGCGAAGAGACGGGGCAGCGGGGATGGGAGAGATGGATGGTGATGAGGTCTGTTTTCCTCACCTCAGAACCCCCCTTTCCATTCTATTCTCCTTCGTTGAATATGCAACTAAGAGTGAAAGGATGGGACAAGGCATGAGCGAGGCAAGGGACCATAGACTCGCTCCATCTCTACGCTCTCCAGGACAGGAGAAGAAAATATTTTGACAGATCTTGAGTCCACTATGGCTCGTGAGGGGGGGGGGGGGAGGATGATGGGAATAACTTCTCACTTGTCATATTGACTATCTCTGCATCATGGCAAATCTCCATCACCAGCCATTTACTTTCATAATCCCACTTACAAGCTGGTGGGGCATCTTGATCTCTTCCCCATCAGTCACCTTGCTCGCTCCCATCCCTCCCGTTGCAAGCGAATTGGTAAAAACCGTGTGAGACGGGAAATCCACGCAATCGCTACAGCCCTTTTCTCTACTTCCCAATCTCTCGTCGCTTGCGAGCAATGAAGGGAAGAATGGGGAAGAAGGGAGTGACTTTTTCGTCGTGTGGACATGAGCGGCCCAGCGAGATGGCCGAAAGGAACGACGTGGCGGCTCACGTTATTTCATTAGCCTTTCCTTTCGTACACCGTCAGTTTCATGTCTCGAGTTTTATCTTCCTCAGCCAAAAGGGAAAATGCAAGACTGTAAAACTATTGAATCTGCAAACTAACACCAAGGTCCACATCACACATCTACCTTCAAGCCTCTGAGCACAGGCCCCAACGGCGCGAAGCGGCTCCTGAAGCATCGAGCTGGCGGCTCGGACGTCTCTCGCGGCTGCACAGAGTTGCTGACGCACAGCGACAGCATCTGCATCGTCCTCGCGCACTGTGACCACTGCGCACTTCAATAATTTGTACTCGCCTTGCAGCTCACACAGCCTCAAGAGATCCCTGATGCTCTTGACCGCGCGCTCGGACCCCTTGGGGCAGGCAACCAATTGCAGGGCCTCCTTGAACCAGTCGGGAGTCTTTCTCCATTCGCGAGGCACACACTGCAGAGTCTTCAAAGACTGCCAGGTTCCGTCTGCGGCCTGCAAAAAGCGAGCCTCTAACAACGGATCCCGGAACTTGGCAACGACTCTCTTTTCCGCTACTGGATCTCCGTCAACCCGATCCAGCTCAGCCTGCAGGAGGCGAGCTACAACTGCCAGGATCTGGCCCACAAACCGCGGCACCCTGGAAAGCTGACTGGCTGGGCGGCTGCCCACCAGCTCATCGATCGCTTTCAGGACCTGAATGTAGTCCTCCAGCTCCAACCTCTCTTGGATATCCATTTTCGCCAGGGTGTGAAAGTCCGAGCGATTGTCTGTCTTGCTTTTTTCCGACTCTTGCCAGGAGGCGGGCCACAAGGTCTTCGCGCTGAAATAATAGTTGGCAACAACTCGCTTGTCCAAGGTTTGCCTCATCAAGTCAATCAGCTCGTCGCTAGCGTTCGCGCTGAAACCGTCCAAGCACTCTGCAGCGTCTTTGTAAACCAGCTGGCTGACTTTGTAGAAAGCTCCGCTGCGTGTGTCTTGGCTTGTCCTCCGATACCACTGCTCAAATCCACCGTGCGGCTTTGGATGGTCGGGGATGAAAACCCAAGGTTCGTCCCTCAAAAAGGCGTCCAGGTCACAGTCCGGAAACACGTTGGCAAAGAGCGTCGCATCATTTACACCAGGATCCTCCAACATCATATACAAAGAGGCCATCTGCGGGCATGACAGGCCTGTCAGGGCAACAGAAACCAAACGAGATGCTCGCATTTAACGCCGTCTGGCTCAAAACCAGGCACCATCCACGCATCATATTTTGCTTGACTCAAATACGACTCCCCTGCCATTTGGCAGCCATCTGAAAGTCAAAAAAAGAGACAAACTCCACCACCAGGGCAAATAAGACAACGGCGTCCTGTTCTGTGAATCTTCTGCCTCCAGCTTTGAAGGACACCGTTCCGCTTCATGTCCATTATTGGGGGTAGTTCCAAACACTACTTGCCGCTAAACATCCTCGGACTACGATTGTGGTTTTGATGGAACGGGGGGCCACAGCTTGGGCACCCACTGCAGGAAGAACTGCAACCTGGGAAATTTTGGTCAACCTGGAATACAAGCACCCAAGCCACCCCCGGCAGCCTGAAGGCTTCTCCCTCAAACTCCTCAGGATGGAGACCAAGGTTCGCGTAGAAGCCTTTGCTATGCCCAGCGGCCAAGCGTCAGCCAACTCTTTCACGCACTCGTCGAAACGGAAACGCTCCGGGCCGTCGAGGCAAGCCAAGTTCCTCAAGACATCGCTTCCAAGTCGCCTCTTTCGCGAGCCACGCAAAAGCACACAGAAGCGCGGGCACAAGAACGCTCGCACAGAAAGACGCAAACAACGGGAGGGGGAGCCAAACAAGCAAGCCAGCAGGCAGCTTAGCAGGCAGGCAGGCAGGCAGGCAACCAACCAACAGAACAAATCCGCCGACGCCAGTCGAGCGTGTAGATGGCAGTCCGCAACTTGGTCTCCCTTCAGACTCTCTTATCAAAGCCGAAGGCTTTTGAGACTGCTATTTTTTGGGCATGCTGCGCTAGGTGCCCAAAACCCTGTATTTAGGTTTTTTCGTCTTTCGTGCTAAAAATCTGCGATTCGCCTAGGTCTCTAAAAAAAAGGGGGGTTCCCCCGGACGTGCAGGATCTGCATCGTGCTTTTCAAAGCAAATTTTTAGGGTATTTGAGGGGGGTTGCTAGTATCGATGTTTGATGGTTGCTTTTTGGAAATATCAAAAAACACTGGTGCATTTTTTTGTGGCTAGCCGGCTGCATTCCCAGCATTCCCCACATCTCTGGTATTCTCTGTGTTTGGTCAATGTTGCGTGTCTGACAGTCTTAAAATCTTGAGCGCGAAGATTGGGTCTGTTCCTGTAAGTTGTGTGGTTGCATCCCTTGCATTTCCAGCATCCTCAGCATCTGGGACATGAAAAACAAGACAGTGCCAAGAAGGCCTTGTTGTACTTACAAAACAATGGGGCCTTGTTTTCATACCCTTTCGGGGGGCGGTTTAAAGAGCAGACCCTAGTGTTCTTCTCCTGTCACGTGTCAGAGCGGCGTTGTTTGCATTCTCGCTAAGAGCCCCATGTCACTGAAGCAAAAAACATCTTTTCCTTACCCACATTCGAGGCACCCTCTCCTTCCACGTGTTAAGAGCCCCAACCCCAAATTCAAGGCACCTCAGAGGGGCGTTGTTTGTTCTCCTTCCACGCGTTAAGACGCCAAGCTTCATTGAGACAATTGTTTTCTGCTGGGTAGGCAGCCAGGCGCTCTCGCACAGCAGACGCCCCACGCTTGAGGGGGCCGGGGCCGTTGCTGAATCCTCAGCCTTCCACAGGTAGGGTGCATAGTAGTCCCCAAAAGGCACCAAGAGCTGCACGAGGCTTCGAGCAATCTCTGGCGTCTTTGCGCATTGTAAGAGCTTCGCCAAGTCCTCGCTTTCGTAGTCCCCGGCCTCTGTGCGCGTCACACGGAAGAGGGGCACAGCGCCCAGCAACAGCCAGAAGTCTTCCCAGTCCTCATCCTTGTACCGGGGTGAGGGAATCATCCAATCAAGCTTCCCTTCTAGCTCTGGAGGAAGGACAGTCAGGTGGAGCGCTTCAGCTTTGCCAACTTTGCGGACGGCATCTTTGCCTTACGTTGCGGCAGTCCTGAAAAAACACAAGCCGCGCAACCAACGGCTACAAGCCTGAGAATCACATATCACTCCGAAACAAGCCCCTCTGTTCAGCTGCGCTGCTGTCCAAGACCCACCACTCCCCAAGCTTCTCCAAAATGACTTCTTGCAAAGGCTGCTCGCAATATGACAGTAGGCTCCTTAGGTCTTGCCTGCGCCTTTGCAAAACAGGTGGCGACCACTCTCGGGCCTGGACACCTAGCCTCACAACCTTGCGTAAAATTCATCTTTGCCACCTTGCGCCCCATCCATTGAGTGACATTGAAACTGTGCGGCGAGAAACAAGCCACCGCACCTCAAAAAAGCACGGACGCAAGTGCGGACAAGCATCCTGAGAGTGCGGGTGGCCAACAGTAGCCTCTCAGGGTCAGGCTCTTCGGGGCGAGTCAGCACTGGCAAGAGCTCCTTCTCCATGAAGGCCAAGCCCTCAACTCGCTCCACACCCAGTAGCACCAGAAAGTCCATCACCTCGAGCCAAAGGGCAAAAGAAAGCAAGAGAAAGAGAAAGAGAAAGAAGGCAAAAGAGAAGACAGCAAGAGAGCAAGCGAGAAAGAGAAAAAGAGGAAGAGAAAGAGGAAGAGAGCAAAAGAGCAAGCAAGAGATACAGAAAAAAATCCAAAGAGAAAGAAAGAAAGAAAGAAAGAAAGAAAGAAAGAAAGAAAGAAAGAAAGAAAGAAAGAAAGAAAGAAAGAAAGAAAGAAAGAAAGAAAGAAAGAAAGAAAGAAAGAAAGAAAGAAAGAAAGAAAAAAAGAGAAAAACAAGAAAGGAAAAAAGAAAAAAAGAAGAAAGGAATAAAGGAAAAAAAAAGAACGAACGAACGAACGAACGAAAGAAAGAAAGAAAGAAAGAAAGAAGGAAAGAAGCAAAGGGAGAGGCAGAAGAAATTCGAGTATCCTGCCTAAGGGCTGCTTTGGGAGCGACAGGGAGGCCCGCCCCTTGACACATTGCGAAACAAGTGGGATGCGTTACGATCAAGAGTTCTTTCCGGGCCCAGGAACTTTTCATGGGCTTCACGCCCAGAATGTTTGTAACTGTGGCCGGCTGATCGCAAGCCCAGCCTCGGGCTCCGCAAGCCCGCTAAGGCGTGGATCCAAGCGATATCCTTGGCCCAGCATCTTCTCTACGCCGGCCATGCTGGCCTCAGGGCGGCTACAGAAGCAATGACTAAGAGCAAAACAAGTGTTCAGGCAAGCCGCTGGTATGTCGTAAACTTTGCAGCCCTTCAAGTCTTCCTCCTCCAAGCTAACCAGTCGCCCTTCCTCAACGGGCAGCACAGCCAACTTCCGCACCTTCTCACCAAGCGCCGGCCTGGTACTTGCAATGGTGAGCAGCAGCAAGCGCAGCAGCTCCACGTGCTCCTCATCTGAGGTCGACGGCCGCTGGGCGAGCGTCTTCAAACACTCCAATGCCACCTCCGCATCCACCACAGGTACTCGCAAGGCGTCCGCGGCCCGTGCCGGCATACCGCCTGTCTCCACGAAACGCCCAGCCTCTGCCAAAAGCCGTACCAAGGAACTCGTGGACCTGGCGGGGACACCCGTCGGAAAGTCCGCCCTCACCGCCTGCTGAGGCACCACCAACTGAAACTGACTTTCTCTGGCATCCTTTCCCTCCTCTTCAGCGCCGTCAGTCTCTGTGTCCCCATTCATGTTCTCTGCCTGGACCAGCACACATCGCACCTCCTGCATGGCCTCCAGAATCGCCGCATCCATGCCCTGGAAGAAGTCGATGGCATCGCCGTGTATGGGCATGGCGTGGTACAACGGCGCCAGCCTGCTGCTGGCTTCTTGCAGCGACAGCATCTCCGCCTCATCCGCAAGCACTCTGGCGGCGTCCGCAAAAGCGTTGGGGACCTGATCTCGGACCTGCTGGTTGAAGACGTTGTCCTGTATGGCCTCTCGGGAAGAGGGGACCTGCCAATCCGCCTGCACGATGAAGCGTAGACCATAAGATCGCAAGGGGAGCCAAGCGTGCGCCTCCTGCGCTGGGAGAGGGCCACACTGATCCAGGCGAAAGGCCAACTTCAGCTCTGAGGCAACGTCGCCATCTTGGCCTCTCAACGTCAAGACGCGGGTGTGCAACAGCCATCGCTCCACCAGTTGGGAACTTCCTATGGTGAAGAGCTCCACCTCTTCAGTGCTGGCACTCTTTGGATGAGTCTTTTTCTTCATCAGCCGCTCCTCCTGACCATTCCGAGACACCTGGGCATGCGGCAAAGGCCCGCAGGAGCCCACGTGCTCACTTACTTTAACATCAACGCATGCCCATCGCAACCCTACGGCTTGAGTCCGAAGCTTGGGATTCCTGCCCTGCCCGCTCTGCCCTTCCCGCCTGGATCTGCTGCACCTTGCGCAAGAAGAGGAGCAGCGTGGGCTTCACGTCCAGCAAGGCCCTGCGCCCAACGTCCTCTGCTCGCAGGCCTCGCTTCTTCAAGGGCCCGCTGGATGCATCCAGGGGAAGCACCAAGCGTGTGCCACCTGGCAAAGCGTGCCAAAGCACGCACCGGATCAACCCGGCGCTCAATGAAAACACTGATTCATGCAAATAAACAAGCTACCATTCAGCACCGCGCGGCTTGAGGCTGTCAAGTTCGCTGGCAAGGGGAAGGGCAGCAAAGACCCAAGACCATTCAAAGCGTCGGAGTCAAAATGGAAATTGAAGATGCCAGACTGGATGACAGGGGTTGCCTAGTTGCTTTCTGCATCTCGGATATAAACAACACACACGCACATTTGTGAGATAGCCTTGTCACAACAACTCAACACACGCAAAGGGTGAGCGCAGACAACTTTGCAAGCGTTGCTGAAAAAGTCCACGATGCGGTGACCAGGAAAACGGACTTGAAGCCAATACCCTTGGCGCCGATGAACCGCTTCTCACGCGCAAGCTTTGTGGACTTATCGATGTCGCAAATCGCCAATACATTCCGCGTCTTGAAGCCGGTCTCGTTGTGCTCCACCACCAGCAGGCCTGCGCCACTTTTTTACGGTCATGCATGATCATGAGTCTCACACGTAGGTAGCTCTGCTGCCAGCTTGGGTAGGGCGGCGATTGCACTGTTCATTAGCGTTGGACTCCGACGCTGTCTTTGTTGCCGGGCACCTACCTCCATGAGTTTTGTGAGTGGCGCACGACCAAGTTAAACAGCATGGACCCCGGACAGCAGTTGCGCACATCAACTCGCTTCAACTCTCGTAACATATCTCACAATCCAGCCCTGGCTGTCCGCACTCTTGCGCAGTGACAAACTGACCAAGTTGGGCATACTAGGGCAAGTTTGATCTCTTGGCTGCGCTTGGCGTGTAGCTCTGGCGGGATACGCGACGCTTGATGGCAGCATCTGGTGAACCTGACTGCGTGGCTGGCAACATTCAAACATCCAGCGAGGCTGCTCGCCCTTTGACTTGTCATGACAAGGCGAGGGGGAGCAGGCGCTGGCAGGGAGACATTAGACATGTAGGGAGACGAGTCCTGACATTCCAAGTCACCAAGCGCAAGCAGGGAAAATGAGGAGACAAGTGGGGAGACAAGCCATGACAAGGTCCGAGTCAGGAAGCACAAGCAAGGGGGCAGCAGGGAGACAAGCCGCAAGGCACACTAAGTCTGATCAGCGTGTGATGAGGCTGAGATGAGCCCGGCCTTCCACAGTTGCGGCCGCTTTGAAATTGGTGATCTCCGCAAACTTGTCCCGCCGCGTCTCATAGCGCAGCTTCAAAGTTGGCGTTGCAGATTGCGCGTAGGTGCAGTCATCTACGTTCTGCAGCAGCTCCAGCAGAAAGTGGGCCTCGCCGCTGTAAAGGTCCTCCGACAGTCTCTTGACAGCACCCTGCACTGTGCTCTGTAAGGCGCGAACTCCTTCGTCTTCAGGCTCTTGAATCCAAACCCGCTTCTCCAAATCCACGCAATTGTAGTCCACCTTCTTCAGCGCGGCGATGCGCCAACACACCTCCTCGTTGCTTTCCAGTTGAACTCGGCTTGCCCTGCTCTCCTCCAACGCAACGTCAGCCTCCACTGTCTCCAGGGCCTCTCGTTCCTTTTCAGTCTCCTTTTGAAGGAAGGCCTTGGCCACTTCTCTCGCTACCTCTGCCTTTCCTGCTTCAACCTCCGCGATCTCCTCCCACTCGGGGAAGTTGAAGTAGCAGGCCAACCTTTTCAGAGCAAGCCGGTGACGCAAGCTTCCCCCTCTTGCAGCGGCCGCCATATTTAGCCGGGGCCTCTCCAGGCGCAAGTACCCCGCGGACAGTACGTCGATGGCCTCCCTCGGGGCCTGCAGCGGCAGGGCAGCAACAGCCCGCAGCAAGAAGTTCTCACTTTCTTTGAAGTCTTTGTAGCCTACGGACACGCTCTCCCTCATCATCTCCATGTAAGTCTTTCCCTCCCGCACCAGACGTGCGAAAACTATGGCCGCCGCCTCCCGGGCGTTCTCAGAATTCACCGCGGAGTTGAGGCTGTCAAGCTGGCACTCGCTCCGCCGCGGCACACGGACAAAGCTGCCATGTCTCACCTCCACCAGGCAGCCCTCAGCGCCTTTCCTCTGAGCAATGGCCTGGAAGTCTGCGGACCGCACAAAGGAGACCAAGTCGCCCAAGCCCCTGAAGTCTCGGCTCCACTGCGGCAGGGCCTCTGTCAAATCCATCAGCAAAGGCGCCGACAGCAGCGCTTGGGCGGCCTGCTCCAGTGCTCGCGAGCCCGTGACGCAGTCGCTCTCCGAGCCATCCTGGCTCCAAGCTGCCACCGCCTGCGCCAAGTTCAGCACCACGCCCGCCGGAGGACCCTCAGCGGTCGCCGAGGCCTCTTGCGCTTCCTCAACGATGCTGCCCAGCTCAGCCTCTTTCCTAAAAAAACAAATGGATGGCGCTTACCAGCGACCAAGCCCCAAAAAGACAAATACTGGACATAAACAACTGCCGATTGAGAAAACCACCGCCCAGCTTCAACATGCCCTGGAAATGCACCCCGAGCGCACGGAGAAGCAGTTGAGTTGAAGTGCCTGGGGCGGCAGCGACCATGCGCCCTGCAAGTTCCCTTGCGCCGTTCTCCAGTTCCAGAGCCTGTCCACTAGGTCCAATAGACCCCATGGCAGCAGCAATGCTGGAGCTGTGTTCTTGCAGCCAGCTTGCAAACACAGCGTTGGACCAGCGCAGGCCTGTTCTGCCAATGACCTCCAGCATGTCACTTGTGTTGCTCTGCAAGCGAAGCTGTTGGCAGAGCTGTGCGAGAACTTGGTCGCCTGTCGGCTGAGACATGGAAAGCTGTGCGTCAGCCTCATCTGTGCCCACGAGAGCATCACGCTCATCTGTGTTGACAAGGTCAACTGCATCTCCAGCTGAATCTTCTGCGCTTCCGCTTTCTGCCAACAGTTTCTGAGTAACCCCCAGCAACTCTCCAAACAGCAGTTTCACATAGCCTGATGCGCTAGGCAACGTCTTCTGCTGCCAACTCGGCCTTTCCCGCAGGATGCTTTGCACAAACTCCTCCTGTTTCTGGGGCGCTGACAGCCGAGCCAACTCTTCTAAGAAGACTTGATGTTGCGGAGCGCAGGCTAAGGAAGTCCATTCGGCCAAAGCCTGGGCAACATACTGGGCACCGTGCCGCCACAGCTGAATTTCTGTGGTGCATCGCTGCCTATTCAAAAGAGGAACCATCTCTCCAAGGAAGGAGCCATCCTGCACGGCGATACCCATCTGCCGAAAATCACTAAATCCGTTGCTGGCCGCCAATTGTGCCAGGCTTGCTGTCATGGAACGCGCCCGAAGGTCCGAGAAGCGCTTGCTGGCTGCAAAACAGCTCAGCACCGGCGCAGAGAAAAGGGAACGGATAACGTCTGCAGATGAAATACGAGGGAATTCCAGCAAACCTTCAAGAGAGCCAAGGTGCGTCAAGCCGAAAGCATCTTGCACAAGAGGATGAAATTGCAGCTTGCCAACAAGGGCATCCTCAAAACGACTCTTCCCTGCAAACATTCGGTGCTGAAGAATGTATTGCTCCAATTCATGCAATGTGACAACCGGATGACTTGCCAAGGTAACGCGAATGACAGTCTCTATGAAAACCAAGGTCTTCACATACCCCGCCAGAATGGGGCCAATGTCAGCACTCCGCAACAGCTCCACTTCCGAGATCCCGCGGAGCTTGCAGAAATTGTCAATCTCTGCCAAAACCACTTCGGCTCTCAAAATGCCATGCTGGCTGATGCAGGTCTCGAAGCTCTGCGCGACAGTTACGCGATCGTTTGTGATCTTTGAGTCCTTCCGCTTGATCTTTAAGCCCTTTAAGCGCAGGTCCATGTACCTCGTCGCGGAGTCCCGCAAGATTGCCACCGAAGGCTCCGAGCCCTCAGTGTTCTCCGCGTCCACCTCTGCGGCTTCGTTGCTCTCCGCTTCAGACTCGCTCACTGGGAACTCTGGAACAGCCCACGGCTCACGCAAGGACATGACACCCGTAGACCCAATGACGCAGAACTGCGGATACTTCCGCACAAGTTTGGAGATCTTCTGCGTCCGCTGGTCGCTCAGCTCTGGGGACAGCGGCTTCAGGATAGTGTGTAACGCGGGGGATGCAACTGATAAAAAGATGCACTCTGCGCCGGCGCCTTTCATCCAATGTTCCAGGCAGTACGCCGCCAAATCATCGACATTGCCAACGGTTACTATAGGCCACCCATCGTCTTTCTCCTCCAGGAAGTCGAATCTGGAAAGCACGTCATGCGAGGTCAGCTGGTGAGAGCCGCACAGCGATACGAATCCATCAAAGTCCACCGTGCCACCTTCCTTGATCAAGTTCTCTACCACTGCATAGTACGGGTCCATCTCCTGCCCATTGCAGGAAAGTTCGTAAAGACCCCAACTTGTCGACTTACTCCTGAAGTTCTAGCAATGGCTTCACCCCCTACCCACTCATCCTAACGATGACAACATGAGACTAGGAATTGACATGCTGAGCACTAAACAACACAAGTCGACATTGCCACATATCCCAGTCTAACGTGTCCTGATTGACTTGCTGTTGCTGTCGTGCTCGTTGCGGCCGCTGCTGCTGTACAAGCATGAAGACATTTGGTGATTTGGAATCAATCCTGAATCTGCCGGGGTACTTCTGCAAGAAGCTTCTCAGCTTGCTGGTCCTTGTGCCTTTCAACGACTTGTCAAGCATCTCTATCTCCTTTTGAAGTTGCTCGCCGGCCTGGCCCATGTGAACCACCAGTTGCTCTGTCTCCAGCATCCAGTGTTCGAGGCAGAATGCTGCTAGGTCATCGACGTTGGCAACTGTCACGCTGTCATCCTTTTGTTCCAAAAACGGGCATCTGGACAGCACGTCATGGAGGGCCAGCCCCATCCCTCGGCAAAATGTAGAAAAACACTGGATATCCTCTGTGCCTCCGCTCTCGATTAGCGACTGCACCACCGTATAACAAGGATCTTGCTCCTGGCTTTTTTTGACATTCCAATGTGCTTTGAAGCCCCTCTATGTTTGTAATGTCTAGCACGTTGCATCAATCACAAATAGGTGATGTGTCTGACAAACTCATACTGGCAACTTCCCCAAGCACAGACTTCGCTATCTCTCCCAACTGTTGTCCTTGGCAACAGTTGCCTTTGTCATAGATTTGTTTGTCGGGCGCTTGGCTGCCAGTGCGAGACCGACAGCCCAGCCATTCTTTGGCCACCGTGGCCACCACCGCGCGCTGCCGCCGGCGAAATGCTCCCGGGGGGGCGCTGCGATCCGAGGCGACGGCGTCCATGGGCAGGCGAGACGCATGGCGCCCCGCTCTGCTGTCGCCTGCGAAGCTCGCCTGGTGCCTTGCCTCTGGATGTGCAGGGTGTGTCGCCGCTTCAGTCGGCCAACATGTTGCTCCAAATCTTGCCTGTTGGAAAGCTTGCAGCCAGCTTGAGACCAACCATGGAGCCACTCATGCACAGAAATGGAGCTGGGAGCAGGGCTGGCTTGAAACGGGAATCAACAACATCGCCAACTCTTGTACGTGGACTGCACCCCAAAGCTTTAAGGACGAATACGTATCTTGTATGTTTGAACATCCCTGGCAATCGGAAAGACCTAGGCAAGAACATTCACAATCGGCCTTTGGCATCTTGACAAGCAGTGTGCTGAGTCGGTGGGCTCTGTGACTACCAATGAGCTAACGTTTTCATCTGCGGACAGACTAGCAGATCAATCCGGATTTGGGTCCCTCATCTGAATGCTCATGGCTCATGATGGGTCAGCACAGCGCATCATGCCTTTTTGCATCAGCTTGATCGGAAAATGTGTCTGCGATCTGTTCTTGGCCGATTCCGGCCTGCGCTTTGCGCATCGCCGCTTCGCTCGAAGCACCGGCCCTCTCGCTTGATCACTTGATCCACCAGGCACGAACACCAGCCAGCAGCAAAGTGAGCCCATGCTTCACGCGGAAGATGGAGGTTTCCCATCTTCGCCCACTATGCTAACATCCTGTACTGCCGGGTACTTTCGCTTGATGCGGTTCTGGACCTCAACCCTCACCTAAGATGGCACTACAAGCAACATCTGTCACCTGCCCTTGATCCAGCCGGGCTCATGCCGCCCAGGCACAGCCATGCTCTTCAGCGGGGGCCCGACCATCTTCAGCACCACCTTTTGATCTTCGCTGTCTTTATCGTTCAGCTCGAAAATCTCGATGGACCCGCCGCTGACGCTCAAGAAAGGTCGGATACCATTCAGGACCTGCGGTAGGCAACATGACGGTAATTACTCACTCCTGGAGCAGAGCGGCAAAGCCCTCCGCCCCCCCCCTCCCTCCCAAATGCTCCTACTCATGGCCACATTCTTGTCTGCTCTGCCCTCGCCTCCTCGATGCCCTCTTCGCTGAGGGGCTCTTGATCAGGAGTCACTGCCACTACTTCTGAAATCTCCGGAATGCGCTCTTTCAGCGTCTTCCTTGGCCATCCATGCCCTGTCACACACTCGGAGCGGTTTAAAGGTCCAATCACTTCCAAGCGTCTCAATGCCCATCTTCATGGTCACAGAGGACGCCGAGCAGCTGCTACACGCCCCAATGAGCTCCAAGCTCACCACTCCGCCATCGATGCTCGAAATCTTGCAGTCGCCCCCATCGCTTTTCAGGTACGGCCGCAACTCGTCAAGCACCTCGCATCGAACTCCGATTCGCTGCGGATGTGGACTGCATTTGAGCAGCACATGTTTGACGTGCCGCTCAGCCCACCCGCAGTCGGCCTCCTGCACGTTGTCCCAGGAGAGCGGCAGCTTTGGCTTCTCATTCTCAATCTCCTCTGTGTCTTTCACCTCTGGCTCCTTCGGCTTGGCCTCCTGAAGGGCAAAGCAATCTGCCAGACAAATGGCAAATCCCCGCACGTCCGGCAGCTCAACGAGCTCCTGCGAAGCGCCAAAGGGCGAGACCACAGTCGCCTCCGCGCGCAGAACTTGTCGCGGCCGGTCCCTGGCTGTTCCTGGCGCTCCCACGGGCAAGCCGAAACTGCGTCGAGGAATGCGGTCCTCTGCAAAACTTCACCGCTGCCACAATTGCACCAGGCACAACTGTGCTAAGTGCACCTTGGCTCAATACACGGAGAGCTGACCAGCAGGCTTGCCCAAATTCGAAGGAACCAAACTTGGACAACTGATATGAACCGAATTGAAAGGGTCCATGGAAGCAAACAAGCCTTTTACCATCAAATAATATCAAAGTTAGTTTGGACCCAAAGCCTAAGCTCAGCACATGTCCTCCGGGTATGGGGCTGTCGGGCAACCTGCGGGGCTGCCCGCAAAGCCGCCCCAAGCGGAGGCGTCGCAGGTGTGGTTACGAAGGGCGCGAGCATGGCGCCGGCTGAGCCAAAGCCCGCGCATGTCGCACATGTCGCACATGTCGCTGTCGCACGTGCCTGCTCTGGGCGCTTTCGCTAACATGCACCCACCCCACCCACCCCACCCCGTGACATGGAATGGAATGAATTCTATAACATGGAAGATGTCCCCCATGGCCCGCCCATCTGGAATATTGTCCTCTCTTAGTACCCTGAAATCCGTGGGAGTCCAAAACAGAACAGTGTGGGGATGAGGACGAAGAGGTGAGGATGTATCAGTCGGATTTTGAGTTTTGCCGCACCGGAAGTCTCTCTGCATCTGGGAGCCAGTTCCAGCCGTTTGGCGGAAGCTCCGTGAAAAGCAAGAGAAATGAAGCTGCGCCTCAAGTGAGCAGCCCAAGATGCTTCGCACAGTTAAACATGACCCATTCTCAACCAAGTAGAACGGATGTTTGACGCTTCAATTAGGTGTCGAAGCCAGCTTTGCCTCGTCCAGCGCAGCCTCTGCGCAAGCGCCTCTGGCGCGCGCCATCTAGCAGGGATAGCCAGCCTCATGTTCGCTGGACGCATGTCAAAAGAGCTGAATCAAACCATCCGGGCTAAGGCAGGGGCCGCTAACCCTGGAGCTACGCAAAGTGCCATAGCCGTTCGTGGCGTCGGTAACTGTGGAAATGCCTTGGCCCAAATGGCCCAAACGTGCAGAGCCAAGCCTTGGGCCGTCTTGCAGCCGCGATGCGTCGGTCGGTCGCCAAACGCCCTCTTCGGCATCAAACACAAGGACCGTACTAAACTGCCTTGCCAGTGATGCCCCATCATCTTCCCAGTCCTGAGAATCAGCTAGTCAGCTAGTCAGCTAGTCAATCACGACATGCTTTCAACCTGTCCTCATCCCCGTTCTCGCCACCAACCACTACAACACATTGCCGCGTGCAGGTCGGGAAATTCCTCAGGGCTTCCCAGTCCCCCCCCCGTCCATTCGCCTAGCCTCAGTTCCCTCCCAGTCCTCCCAGGCGCCGGAAGACGCATGGTAACTGCCTGGCAACCCATCCGGCCCTCTGCCATATCCTGGATCTGAAGAGCTTCAAGCCCTGCTTGGCATCCATCGCCTCAGCCGCACCCGCAGCCACATGCCCTTGGTTCCTTGGGCTACTTTTACTTGTTCCTCGCTTGGTGCTCTCTTGGGGCTCCCTTGGCGCTCCCTTGAGGCTCCCTGCCCTGCTCGGGCTCCTCAGCCTTCCGCTGTACGTGGTAGACCTCGGGCTTGCTGACCAGGCTGATCCCTTGACAGACGCCCGAGCCTCTGCAGATGACAATGACGGCGCACCGCCCATCACCTGGCAAGGCGTAAGGCTCCCAAGTCACAGAGGAATTGCGGATTGCTGAGTATGAAAAAACTGCCAAGGTCACCAAAATGCGCTCAGCATCCAGTGCCACAGCGGCCGCGGTGGTCCTGTTGGCAATTTGCGAAGCTGCCAAATTGCTCCATTGCCGCCGATCCTGGGAACACCTAGCTGTGTATCCAGCAGCACCCAGCCACCACACCTTGCAAAGAGCTGCGACAAGGCATCAGTCTGATCCTTCTAAATGAGCCAAGACCACTCTTGAGTCAAGATCTCCACGCTCGCCAGCATCCTTAGAGAAGTCCGTTGTCACAGCTTCTCACTTTTGCACCTGGGGCTGCGGCTCTGCCCGCCCAAACACGTCGTCACAGCCACCCACTGCTGCCAGCTTTCCGCCCGCTATGGCAACCACCCTGCGCCGCGTTTGAGTTGCACCCAGCTCACAGCTTCGACACGCGTGGCCTTGCCCCAGCGCGAGCCACATTCAGCGTCGGGGCCGGCCGCCATTCGTTGGTCGTAACGTCGTAGGTCTGGCGCTGGCTGCTGGCTGCTCATGCTTTTTGCTTTTTGGGGAGGGGGGGTAGTGCTGTGCTGTGGATGTGGTGCGTATTCAACTTTTATGCATGTGCAATGGGACTGTGCTTGTGCTTGCTGCTCCCGACCTCGCAGCTGCGCAGCGTCTCCATCAGCTCCTCCCCGCAAACCACACGTTGGTTTGCCGTGCGACTCTGTGCGCCTGCCTCTCCCACAAGGGAACCCGCCAGCAGCGCACAGCCGCCCACCTCAGAGTGCACTTCAACTATCTTCCCGTGCTCCATGCTCTCGTGGGGCCGCACGGCATACACCAGCGATCCCAGGACTGAGCAGCCTGGCACAACAGCGCTGAGCAGTGTCTCACCAAAAAGAACAGCCAGGCAGGCCATGACCCCAGCGTGCTCGCAGGAGATCCTTGGCCAAATCTCCCCGCTTGCCCGGCTCAACTCAAATGCCTCCAGCTGAGTCCTGGGCTGCGCCTGCCTTTGCCCAAACCTGCCCGACCGGGTCGAAGACCTGCAGCAGCCCTTCCCCGCCCCGCCCATGGCGCTGGTGCTGGCACTGGCCTCACAGCTGTCCAGCACCCCGCGGACAATGCCCTGCTCATCATAGCCTGGGGCACTTAAGCTCCAAAATGTGTTGCCTCCTTTTCCCGTGACTCGCTTTGCCTCCTATTCGCTGGCAAATACCGAAGCGTTCCTTTGTTACTGGCTGGCTCGTCTCACACGGTGCGCTCGTCATGACAGTCATGATTTTCCTTCCTGGACCAGCTTGCCTGCGCATGCTCTGTATCGGCTGCATTACCATCTGCATCCAGCTTGCATCGCCAGCATTATGGCCTTTGCCGATCATCGCTTGGCTCAGCGTTGCTTGAGTCACATGCAGGCTTCTGCCGCTAATGGCTAGCTGTCTCCATTCCAGCTCATCATCACCGTGCGTCGCCTGCATTCCCTGCATCACCAACAGCTACCTGCCCCCGGGCACGCGTACCTGCCCCCCAACAGCAGCAAGCTAGCAGCATCATCTCCATTAGCGTGATCTGCATCGCCTACACTGGCAATATCTTCATCACCTGCATTACCGCAGTTCCAGCTCGACCTTTCGCTGCTTTTCACACCGTTCCGCAACTGGTCTGCTTTCCTTGCTTGCATAATCCAGCGCGCCTCCACAAACAATCAGCCGGCCATTTGGCAAAGCTGCCGCAGCACAGCCTTCCAAGGATTCCAAGGACTCCAAGGACTCCAAGGACTCTGGGGGTTCCAGGCCGGCGAATCAATGGCTCAAGTGCAGTCTTCCAGCTTCTCTCGCTGAGCTCCGTGCCAGCCCTTCGGGCCAGCATGTGTGGACATTGCACCCACCTGCAGGGATGCGGCTCAACAGCATGCCCGCGTGCCATGTAGATTGTGAGGAGCAACACGGCTGACAAACTGCGCAATGCATTACAAGGCCTTCCGTTCCAGGCATCAAACATCTCAACCACATCCAACGGCTCCTGAGTGTCAGGATCACGGAGCAAAAGGAGCATATTCGGCGGAACTCCTGATTGTTGTCCCTGCCGCCAATGACATAGAGCTGGTCGGCGACTGGGCCTGACCGGCGGCAAAGCCCAGCGAAGTCGCACTGCCACTCCACTTGAGCCCGACACCATCAAAGCTCAGAAATGGGGACAGCATCTCGCTGTAGAAGCTCCTTACTGACGTCACATCCGTGGCTCCGGCCCGTATGCATCTCAGGCCCTGGCGGTGGCAGCGCGGACCGCTTGGTCGGCCCGCTGCGGTCATCGAGCGCCAAGAGGCACAGCTTGGGAATGACTCCTGGCCAAGCCGTGCGCCTTGACCCGCAGCCCGCGGTCTGCGGGAACGGTCGAATCGATCAGAACGCGCCTGGCTCCACCCACCTGCCAGATGGGCCCTGGGGCAGGACGGCACACCTGACGCAAGGCTCGCCTTCGGGCGACCGGGCAATGTGCCAAGAGCCCGGCTTGGCCGGCTCCATGCCGTTTGGCACGTGAGCTCCACCCTGGCTGCACGCACCAGGTTCGAGCCAAACTGGCAGCGGAGCGATCAAATGGACAATTGCAATCCAAACGCATGGCGGCCATGGCTACAAGAGCCGAGTCTGGCCCCCAAAACGATTCCCTGGCATCTGCAGATGCTGGCGCAACTTTTCAGCTCTGCAGTCAGGGCGCTACCAGCTGCCCCACTGCAATCCCCACCGCACGGCACTCCGCCAAATCTTATGCCCAGGCTCTCTTTCTGACCTGGAAATCCTCTGCACACCCAGGCTACGAAAGCGGAAAGCTAAGAACCAATGCCGCTATCTGCAAGTGCCCCATGTGCAAAGCTCCAGCTGAAACTCCCCTTTCGCGTGTGATCGAACCAACCGCTTCTTTAAGTAAACGCACCAAGCGCAACCAAACATCCTTCGGGGCTGGGCAAAGGTTCCCGCGCACTGGGAGACATCAACCCAACTCCCGCGGCTGCGGTCAAGGGGAAGGCCCAACCAGGCGAAAAAACTGGCGGTTGGCGCAATGCCTGGCAGGTCAGTCAGCTGCCTGGCTAGGCACATGCTGCACTCAAAGCTGCCCAAAGCCACTCCCAAGTCAACACAATGTCTCCCAAGGCAAGCATATATCAGGCACCGCCCCAGCAACGCACTTGTCATCACACGCCTTTTTCCTCCAAGGCGTCGCATGTCCTGGGTGCCGACGCAGAGGCTCAAGCGCAGCAAGATGCCACGCACTTCTCAGCGGGCGCATCTGTGGGCAGCACATCATACACTGCCGCCTTGTACGCGGCAGTGCCCGCGGTGTCCGTCGGCAACTGGCAGTTCTTGGTCGGAACGCCCGGCAGCGAGAGAGTCAGCTTGGCAAGCTCAGCAGAGTGGTCTTGTGTGGCACATGCGCTGACTTCTTTGTTGCCGATGATGGCATCCAAATAGCATTCGATGCGCAGAATTGCGAGCTTTTCCTGCTTGGTGCTGTCCAAGGATGATTGGAAGTTGCCCGAGCTGTCCAGGTAAGTCTTCTTGGTGGTGCTGTAGCAGGTGTCGCAAGACACACTCACGGCCTCGTAGTAGGAGCAGGAGGCACTGTCCATTGTAGCCTGCTCGTCATTGCACGTCTTCTTCTTGGCATCATAGGCATCCTTCTTGTCCGTGCAAGACTTCGACAGCGTCGTCAGCTTGGTGGTGGCATTGCTGCATTCAGCCTCATGCGTTTTGTAAGTTTCGGCCTCCCTGGCAAATGCAGCAGCCAAACGCTCCAGTTGCTGCAAGTAGGTCTCGCCAGTAGCTGTTGGGCAAGTTCCGGCGATGGCAGACTGCTGGGACTTGAGGGTGTCAACCTCATCGCACTCACTCTTCTTGGTGCTTTCTGTGGTGGTGTACTCTGTCTGGCAGGTCGTGTGCTGTCCATAGAGCGCTGCCTCGCCGGTACGGCAAGTGCTGTGTGTCCCCATGAACGTCTCAAACTTGGTCTTCTCATCAGCACCGTGCGTGCTGGCGTTGAAGCATTTGTAGATCTCACCAACCATGGAGTTGATCTCGTTCTGGATCTTGTTCAGACTTTGTGTCAACAAGGGCTGGAGCTCATTGAGGACCTTTCCCTTCAACTCCTCTGCGAAGGCTTTCATCTCGGGAGTTGACTTGGCCGACATCATGGCCGTCATAAGGCTTGCCTCCACTTCCAAAGCTGACGTGGCGTTGGGCATCATCTCCTTGAGATTTAACTTCAAGCCATCAGCCACCGTCAGCAGCACAAGCACGGGCAGCACAAACTTCATTGCTCACAAGCCGCCAACGGCAATTGGCCGGAACTGGGAAGGAACCTGGCCTACCTTGGTCAAACACAAAAACCGCGGGACGTACCACTCCGACGCCACAGCCACGAAAGCCATTCAGCCACACAAACGAAAGAAATCCTGCAAGACAAACTTCAAACAAAGCCCTCCCCCAAAACAAAAAAACGGTGGTTGGTGCGGCACATGATGCACTCAAAGCTGCCCAAAGCCACTCCCAAACAAGGCAAGCATATATCAGGCACCGCCCCAGCAACGCACTTTTCATCGCACGCCTTTTTCCTCCAAGGCGTCGCATGTCCTGGGTGCCGACGCAGAGGCTCAAGCGCAGCAAGATGCCACGCACTTCTCAGCGGGCGCATCTGTGGGCAGCACATCATACACTGCCGCCTTGTACGCGGCAGTGCCCGCGGTGTCCGTCGGCAACTGGCAGTTCTTGGTCGGAACGCCCGGCAGCGAGAGAGTCAGCTTGGCAAGCTCAGCAGAGTGGTCTTGTGTGGCACATGCGCTGACTTCTTTGTTGCCGATGATGGCATCCAAATAGCATTCGATGCGCAGAATTGCGAGCTTTTCCTGCTTGGTGCTGTCCAAGGATGATTGGAAGTTGCCCGAGCTGTCCAGGTAAGTCTTCTTGGTGGTGCTGTAGCAGGTGTCGCAAGACACACTCACGGCCTCGTAGTAGGAGCAGGAGGCACTGTCCATTGTAGCCTGCTCGTCATTGCACGTCTTCTTCTTGGCATCATAGGCATCCTTCTTGTCCGTGCAAGACTTCGACAGCGTCGTCAGCTTGGTGGTGGCATTGCTGCATTCAGCCTCATGCGTTTTGTAAGTTTCGGCCTCCCTGGCAAATGCAGCAGCCAAACGCTCCAGTTGCTGCAAGTAGGTCTCGCCAGTAGCTGTTGGGCAAGTTCCGGCGATGGCAGACTGCTGGGACTTGAGGGTGTCAACCTCATCGCACTCACTCTTCTTGGTGCTTTCTGTGGTGGTGTACTCTGTCTGGCAGGTCGTGTGCTGTCCATAGAGCGCTGCCTCGCCGGTACGGCAAGTGCTGTGTGTCCCCATGAACGTCTCAAACTTGGTCTTCTCATCAGCACCGTGCGTGCTGGCGTTGAAGCATTTGTAGATCTCACCAACCATGGAGTTGATCTCGTTCTGGATCTTGTTCAGACTTTGTGTCAACAAGGGCTGGAGCTCATTGAGGACCTTTCCCTTCAACTCCTCTGCGAAGGCTTTCATCTCGGGAGTTGACTTGGCCGACATCATGGCCGTCATAAGGCTTGCCTCCACTTCCAAAGCTGACGTGGCGTTGGGCATCATCTCCTTGAGATTTAACTTCAAGCCATCAGCCACCGTCAGCAGCACAAGCACGGGCAGCACAAACTTCATTGCTCACAAGCCGCCAACGGCAATTGGCCGGAACTGGGAAGGAACCTGGCCTACCTTGGTCAAACACAAAAACCGCGGGACGTACCACTCCGACGCCACAGCCACGAAAGCCATTCAGCCACACAAACGAAAGAAATCCTGCAAGACAAACTTCAAACAAAGCCCTCCCCCAAAACAAAAAACGGTGGTTGGTGCGGCACATGATGCACTCAAAGCTGCCCAAAGCCACTCCCAAGTCAACACAATGTCTCACAAGGCAAGCATATATCAGGCACCGCACCAGCAACGCACTTGTCATCACACGCCTTTTTCCTCCAAGGCGTCGCATGTCCTGGGTGCCGACGCAGAGGCTCAAGCGCAGCAAGATGCCACGCACTTCTCAGCGGGCGCATCTGTGGGCAGCACATCATACACTGCCGCCTTGTACGCGGCAGTGCCCGCGGTGTCCGTCGGCAACTGGCAGTTCTTGGTCGGAACGCCCGGCAGCGAGAGAGTCAGCTTGGCAAGCTCAGCAGAGTGGTCCTGTGTGGCACATGCGCTGACTTCTTTGTTGCCGATGATGGCATCCAAATAGCATTCGATGCGCAGAATTGCGAGCTTTTCCTGCTTGGTGCTGTCCAAGGATGATTGGAAGTTGCCCGAGCTGTCCAGGTAAGTCTTCTTGGTGGTGCTGTAGCAGGTGTCGCAAGACACACTCACGGCCTCGTAGTAGGAGCAGGAGGCACTGTCCATTGTAGCCTGCTCGTCATTGCACGTCTTCTTCTTGGCATCATAGGCATCCTTCTTGTCCGTGCAAGACTTCGACAGCGTCGTCAGCTTGGTGGTGGCATTGCTGCATTCAGCCTCATGCGTTTTGTAAGTTTCGGCCTCCCTGGCAAATGCAGCAGCCAAACGCTCCAGTTGCTGCAAGTAGGTCTCGCCAGTAGCTGTTGGGCAAGTTCCGGCGATGGCAGACTGCTGGGACTTGAGGGTGTCAACCTCATCGCACTCACTCTTCTTGGTGCTTTCTGTGGTGGTGTACTCTGTCTGGCAGGTCGTGTGCTGTCCGTAGAGCGCTGCCTCGCCGGTACGGCAAGTGCTATGTGTCCCCATGAACGTCTCAAACTTGGTCTTCTCATCAGCACCGTGCGTGCTGGCGTTGAAGCATTTGTAGATCTCACCAACCATGGAGTTGATCTCGTTCTGGATCTTGTTCAGACTTTGTGTCAACAAGGGCTGGAGCTCATTGAGGACCTTTCCCTTCAACTCCTCTGCGAAGGCTTTCATCTCGGGAGTTGACTTGGCCGACATCATGGCCGTCATAAGGCTTGCCTCCACTTCCAAAGCTGACGTGGCGTTGGGCATCATCTCCTTGAGATTTAACTTCAAGCCATCAGCCACCGTCAGCAGCACAAGCACGGGCAGCACAAACTTCATTGCTCACAAGCCGCCAACGGCAATTGGCCGGAACTGGGAAGGAACCTGGCCTACCTTGGTCAAACACAAAAACCGCGGGACATACCACTCCGACGCCACAGCCACGAAAGCCATTCAGCCACACAAACGAAAGAAATCCTGCAAGACAAACTTCAAACAAAGCCCTCCCCCAAAACAAAAAAACGGTGGTTGGTGCGGCACATGATGCACTCAAAGCTGCCCAAAGCCACTCCCAAACAAGGCAAGCATATATCAGGCACCGCCCCAGCAACGCACTTGTCATCGCACGCCTTTTTCCTCCAAGGCGTCGCATGTCCTGGGTGCCGACGCAGAGGCTCAAGCGCAGCAAGATGCCACGCACTTCTCAGCGGGCGCATCTGTGGGCAGCACATCATACACTGCCGCCTTGTACGCGGCAGTGCCCGCGGTGTCCGTCGGCAACTGGCAGTTCTTGGTCGGAACGCCCGGCAGCGAGAGAGTCAGCTTGGCAAGCTCAGCAGAGTGGTCTTGTGTGGCACATGCGCTGACTTCTTTGTTGCCGATGATGGCATCCAAATAGCATTCGATGCGCAGAATTGCGAGCTTTTCCTGCTTGGTGCTGTCCAAGGATGATTGGAAGTTGCCCGAGCTGTCCAGGTAAGTCTTCTTGGTGGTGCTGTAGCAGGTGTCGCAAGACACACTCACGGCCTCGTAGTAGGAGCAGGAGGCACTGTCCATTGTAGCCTGCTCGTCATTGCACGTCTTCTTCTTGGCATCATAGGCATCCTTCTTGTCCGTGCAAGACTTCGACAGCGTCGTCAGCTTGGTGGTGGCATTGCTGCATTCAGCCTCATGCGTTTTGTAAGTTTCGGCCTCCCTGGCAAATGCAGCAGCCAAACGCTCCAGTTGCTGCAAGTAGGTCTCGCCAGTAGCTGTTGGGCAAGTTCCGGCGATGGCAGACTGCTGGGACTTGAGGGTGTCAACCTCATCGCACTCACTCTTCTTGGTGCTTTCTGTGGTGGTGTACTCTGTCTGGCAGGTCGTGTGCTGTCCGTAGAGCGCTGCCTCGCCGGTACGGCAAGTGCTATGTGTCCCCATGAACGTCTCAAACTTGGTCTTCTCATCAGCACCGTGCGTGCTGGCGTTGAAGCATTTGTAGATCTCACCAACCATGGAGTTGATCTCGTTCTGGATCTTGTTCAGACTTTGTGTCAACAAGGGCTGGAGCTCATTGAGGACCTTTCCCTTCAACTCCTCTGCGAAGGCTTTCATCTCGGGAGTTGACTTGGCCGACATCATGGCCGTCATAAGGCTTGCCTCCACTTCCAAAGCTGACGTGGCGTTGGGCATCATCTCCTTGAGATTTAACTTCAAGCCATCAGCCACCGTCAGCAGCACAAGCACGGGCAGCACAAACTTCATTGCTCACAAGCCGCCAACGGCAATTGGCCGGAACTGGGAAGGAACCTGGCCTACCTTGGTCAAACACAAAAACCGCGGGACATACCACTCACTCCGACGCCCCCAGCTGCTGTCAAGAGTTGAAGGCCCTCACCAGCGGTTGCTGCAATGCCGGGCTTGACAACAGGCCGGTCGCGCTGAAAAGGAACTGGATATCCTCGGAGGAAAGCCTCTGCAGCGCCTGGCACACACAACACAACAGCCATGTGACAGTGGCACATCTCTTTGGCGATGCACACTCGCTTGAATCGAGTGCTTGCCCTCGCCTGGTTGCAGTTGCCGACCGTGCAATCAAAGACCGTCTGCTTCTTCTCCTGCAACTCCACGATTTTCTCCTCGATGGTTTCGGCCTCGGCTTCAAGGCCATGGCTTGCTTGCGACCCGCAGCCCACAGGACCCGCAGGAAAGGCTGCGGCGGCCACGAAGCGGATGGCTTTCACTGGGCGGAGCTGACCGATTCGGTGAGCGCCTGCGGAAGCAAATCTGAAGCGTACGCGCGAGTCGCTCGAGGGCTCTGCGTTGGATGGCTTGTGCTTCAGCGGCCGGGTTCCACCTGAATGCCAAGGGCGCACGTGGCGGGGGCAAGTGTCTCGAGCACCACACCAGGGGTCCATCAGGAAGATGTGGTCCGCTGCCTGCAAGTTCAAGCCTTCACCTGGCGGCCACCTTTTCGGCTTGAGCCTTCAGCCTACATTGGTGCCTCCGGCTTTCAAGGAGATCAGCAAGACCTTCAGCGTGGGCTCTGTCTGGAAGGACACGATGATGTTGTTCCTGGCAGCTTTGAACGGCCCGACTCGTGACAAGCCCAGAAACCACCCTCCTGGCAACAATGGGCATGCTGCCCAGCACCGTGGCTGCGGAGATGCCTTCACGCTTCAGGCGCCACTCAATGATCTCCAAGAAGCGGGTGAATTGCGAGAAGACCAACGCCTGGGAGAGCACCATGCAAAAAATGAATGAAGGAAGACCCTATTCTGAAGATTCACTTGCCGGCGTCCGCAAGGGCAAGGGCTGAGCCGACTCCGCCCTCCGGCCTTGCTTGTGGAATCTGCCTCCTCCATCCTCTTGATCTCCTGCATCAAAGCCTCGATCTTGGTGGAGCTTCGAAACTCGGATGTCTTGATCTTCTGCATGATGCCTGGCTGCAATGTGCGGCTAGATCGCCACCAAACAATCCGAAACGTAGCCGGTCTGACTATTACGTCCACCTTGCAACGGCAAAAGCTCTGAACCGCCGGGGGAAAAAAACGGCACCTTTGCCGCTTCCTGACTGCGGCTTCTCCTTGACCTGCTCTCCTCGAAGTCGGCGACTTTGGGGGGACCATAGGTTTGCTTGGCGAGACGTGTTGGTGCTACGACATGGCATGCTCTCCCACAGGCTCTCTCACTTAGTAGCTGATCAGGGTGTGAGAGAAAATGGGTGTGAAGAATGGAGTGGGATAAAGGATATCTGATCTGAAAACTGCTTATTGGGAAGGCCCCTCATTCATACGGATAGGCCTTATTGCAATCGTTGAGTGTCTGAGCTGTTCTTCTATGTCTACGCTGCACAATTTGCCGCACTGACCACCACTTCAGTACCACCCCCCCTCCCAAACTCAAGCCTCCCTTCAACGCCAGCTTTCCGGAGTCGACCACCGGTTTCTTCTCACAACTCTGCTGTGAATGGCCAAGGTCATGTACAAGAGTGGATGTACATTGACACCCCCTCTTGGATTGATGCAGGTTTCTACAATAAGCCAAAAACAGTTTTGTTCGCATGGGTCGAAGTGATGTAAAAGTTGTTAGCAGCTCTACTGACTGTTGCTCTTTGTACATCGATGCTTCTAATGTTTCGAACATCTATACACACTGTATTCAAATGGCATGATGTATGCGGGATGTAAATCCCAAAAAATCTGATGTAGACGATGTAGCCGATGTGGCCTACTTGTCGTCCATGATTCGCTTCTTGTTGAGAAGCCTGTATCCCTGCTGTTGTGACGCGATGGTTGCTCCATCTATGTCTCGAAGTTTCTCGCTGTAGCCCATCAGCTATGGAGCAAAGGGGAAAGCAAAATCACTACAAGCACCAACACAACTTGACAACAAGAAGCTCAAGCATATGACCAGGCACCTTAAAGGGACAAGGTACTCGCGACACAACCTGCGACCAAAGATACAAACACAGGACAAACGAATTCCACTCAACATTGACACATACACAGATGCCAACTGGGCATCGTGTGAGACAACAAGGAAAAGCACAACAGGATTTGTACTGTACTTCTTTGGAGCAGCAGTACGTTATGGCAGCAGAACACAAGCAACAATAGCACTTTCATCAGCAGAGTCAGAGCTGTACGCGATTGGTACAGCAGCACAGGAGAGCCTAAACATCAGCAACTTCATCAAGGAAGCGTTTGAAGTACGCACCAACATCAGGATACACACAGACAGCAGCGCAGCAAAGTCAATAGCAATAAGAGAAGGCACATCAAAGAAAGCAAAGCACATTGAGCTGCGACACCTCTTCATACAACAACTTGCTAAAAGCAACATCATCACCACGCACAAGGTAAAGTCAGAAGACAACACAGCCGACATTCTTACCAAGTTTGGTGGCAGCGACACACTCAACAAACACCTGTACAACGTTGGCCTGTGAGGCCACACCACAACAGTTTCACACCAGTGAGTACTGTAGTCAGCACAGGTTGTTAAACAACAGGTGCGCAGTTCACACATGTTTGTTTTACCACCTAACAGCCGGCATGGACACAATCTTTTAGGGTAGATACCTCGGCCATGGATCGACCCCGCTTTTACAACCACTACACTGTTCCCCAACATCTTTTGGGAGCTACATTTGCATGGCATTTTGTACATGTCTCAGACAACGTTTTGATACATGCTGCAGCCATCTACATTTGCTTTGTACAGTTTGTGCTTAGGCCAATATCCTACAATGGATCACCGTGCCTACAAGACCCTGCACATGCCTTTGACAGTGCCGGATGGATTCACAGTCGAACAGGTTGGGAACAACCCAACTACACCAGCCAATGCTCAGGATTACACTGAGGATGATTCCACTCACCATGGAGCAGTGCAATTTTGCTACAACCGCTGCTACATCATAGCCAGGTGAGACACAGAAGCTCCCGGGCTACATGAGGTCTCCCACATTGGATTCATTGGGATGCTCTACAGCCTCATGGATTGCATGGGCTACCTCAGCTGGATGATACATGAAGGCCTCGACAGTACATTGGACATGACAACTTTCTACATCCTCAAGGTCAGTCTCCAGACAGACGAGCTGTTTCAGAAGGTGTACCAGAATCAGGTGACCTTGTTCAACAGGGGCTACATCAGTGCGGTTCTCCAGTTGCAACACACCTGCGCACGGGCTTTGTCGAACATCGAGAAGGCCTCTGGCACCATCATCAGGGTACAGGGCCATATTACAAACTTCTACGAGAACTACAACCTCACGCGTAATTTCGCAATTTTGCAACACGTGGGACGGTGCTTAACAATCTGGACCTTCTGGACAGGGTACATGCAGGCCTCACCATGGCACTACACCGCTACAGCTATGCTGCAGTACAACCCATCGCTGAGCCACTCAGGACAAGAGTGATTCAGTACATTGTGGAGCACGGGATACAGCTCACAGGAAGCGGCACAACCCTGTCTGGTCTTGTGTATGCTAGCCTTTGTATTTTGCCAACAAGCCGCCGGTATTTCTTGTGTTGTTCTTGGTCTAGTGGTGCTTCATCTTCTGCTGTACCTTTCATGTGTGGTACTCCTGGTGATGGTGCTGGGTTGCATGTAGTCATTCCTGATTCTTCCAGGATGATGTCAACATAATTGTTGTTCAAGCTGATGTCAATGTGGTCGCCTTTGTGTGAAATGTTCTTGCCAAGGAAATGCATTGTTGACCCAACTGTTAGGTCGTCAGTGTGTCTCAGCAGGACTTCCTTTTGCATTCTGCTGAAGAGCGTGTTGATGATGCTCTGAGCTCTGTACTCCTATGAAGAGGAGATCGTCTACATAGATCAGGATGTAGACCTGACAGTCTTTTGACCTCTAAACATTGCTTTCTGTTGCGCGTCTCACAAGCCCAAGTGCGACTGCGAGGATGTGTGCTATGTGGTCTTGCCATTGTTTTGGTGATGATCGTAGGCCAGAAATGGCTTTGTTCAGCGCCACATTATGTGTCTGTTGTCATCATTGTAGGACTCATGTGGTGGTCGCATTGCTAGATTGTACGAGATTGCTTCTGCATGTAGACATGCAACACTGACATCTCCTGCGCTGACTGACCAGTTGTACACCAATGCCATTGTGAGGAGTATCCTCAGTATGCAAAACAATGGTGTACTTGCAAACAAGAGATCGTGGTCTGTAACGGGTTCTGTGTAGCCCTTTGCTACTATGCGTGCTCGCACTTCGTTGTGTTTCTGTTTGAGAACCCATCTAGACTCGATAATGTTTGCTTGTTGTTCTGGTGACAATGTGTTGCCATCAATCTCTGTAAAGACTGATTGATCTTTCAGTTGTTGCACTTCCTTCTTCATTCCTTGTGCTACCTGTTGTGGATCCAAGTCTTCTGTGTCATGTAGGATTGGCTCTAGTAGGATCCTCTCATTGCTGATTTCTTCTGCATCTTCATTGGATGTTGTCCGCATTTGTTTTCCATCCTTTGTTGTGAACTCGATGGCATTTATTCTCATTTTGCTCTTTGGCTGTTCTGATGTTCTGGGTCGCTCAAGCGCTTGTCTTTCTGTTGCGGTGCGCTGTTGCTTGCCTGTACTGCCTTCTGCTATTGTGTCATCTCTTTCTCTTGTGGGTGATGTAGGGGGTGGTACTGGCAGTGCTGGTCGCTTCTGGTGTGTTGGTGATGTAGCCATAGGTGATGTTGGCTCTGTTGTTCTTTTCTGCTTTGTTGGCTGATCCCCTGCTTCTGTTGCGCTCTGTCTCTTGCGTTCTGCTGCTGTGCTAGTTGTTGCATCTTTCTGTGATGGTGGTGCCTTGCTTGTAGCTGGCATTGTCAATGGTGTTGCGAGAGTTGGTGTGTGCCGTGCTGATGCTGGTGTCTTCCATGGACCTGTGTGTACACAGTCCAGTAGTTGTTGATTGTATTTGTGAGGCATAATCTGCCTTCTGATTGTCCTTGCTCTGACAATCTTGTTGTAGATCCCAAGAAGGGATTCGCCTGTGGTTGTATCCTTGCCAAGCCAGATCCCGTTGTAGAATCTCGGCTCGAGTTTTGGAAATTGTTTCACTGTTGGTAGCATGTGTTGCACTGTCTCACCAAACTCGCAAAGTGGTGTATGTTGCTCTCTGTTCCATCTGTTGAAGTAGCTTGTGCATCCATTGCTGTGAACTGCATACCTGTTCATGATGTATGCACTGTGTCGAACTATCCAAGGCATGAGTGGATGTTTCATTGAAATGTCTCTGGTGTAGTTTTGTCTGATCTGTGCCTTGAGTGTTCTGATTTGTACATGTGCGCTCGCTCTACTCCTCCTTGTGATTGTGAACTGTATGCTCCTGAGTTCCTTGTGGTGATGTTGCCATTCTTATTGGCCACTCCTGTTGTGAGCGCTGTCAGGAAGTCTTCCTGATCTGATTGTAGTATCGTGTGTGTTGTTCTTCCACATTCAATGAGGAAGTGCTGTAGCTGTGTGACTGCATAGTCGAAGAGCATTCTCTTGTCTGTCAGTTGTAGTGCCATGATCATCACTGACTGGATGTCAATTGCTGTGAGAATTGGGTGTACATTACTATCATCAAAGACTTTGATGTAGACGAAGTCAAGCCGTATGATTGGAAGCTTGCTGTGTTGCTTTGGATGATTGTTTTGTCTGCCTCTTGCTTGTACGCATATTGGACACCAACTCCTGTAAGCGAGATGTGTCACGTTGTGCTCGAGTATCTCCTGCGGTGTTGGTTGATTGGGTGCTTGTACTGCTTTTGCTTTTGTACCTTGTTGTTGTTCCTCATCATCTGACTCAAGTTGTGTTGGGAACTCCTGATGTTCCCCAAAGTTTGTCCAGCCTGTCCAAGGCTTGTCTGATGTCTTTGCTGGCTGTGTTGTCCATTCATCTTCTATCAATCTTGTGTGTTGTCTTTCTCCTCCAACTGGTTGTACCTTGGTCTGTCTCCAAGGTATGAGTCGCTTGATGTCTGGCCCGTCGTGCGTCTGCTCTGGTATGTAAAACGCTGTTCTAGGCTCAACATGTACTCTCTTCCAGTATGGGCCTTCTCTGTACCAGTAGTCCCCTCCAGGATGTACTTCTGAAGGA